CTGCAAGTCTGATTGCTTTTATATTACATATATAGGTATTACATGTGGACCTTGTTAATTTTGTGGTGATATCTTCAATTACTTAATTTTGATGATTATTTTTGTCATTTTTGTTGAAAAGTGATATTTTTGAATTCTTGTTGAAAACAGCAAGGTCCTTTGCTTTGATACTATACATATTGTTCAATTTCAATCTTCAGTTCTTTAATTGAAATGTGCATTGCTAACAGCGGAGCTATCTGAGCCGACAGGCTGCTTGTTTGTTTCATGTTCCAATTCAAAATGTCTGACTAATTTCAGTGTTGTTTACTCAACTCATGACATGATTTGTTTCTCACTAAATTCAGTATCAATGCTATGTCTTGGGTTTTATCTTTTCACAGCTTCATTCCAAACTACGTAGAGTTCCTGAGAATCTAACCAAAAAGACAAAGGAAATTGATAAACAAGAAAAGAAAAGACGATCTATGCTTCAACTAAAACCAGTCAAGGAATCGGTGCGTCAATGTTGGTAAAATCACAATTCACTATTCCACAGAATTTTACATGCTTCATAAATTCATTCAAACTACATTCTGACCAATAATATGGCAGAAACTCATCTCAAAACTGTGACAAGGTACAATTTGCCTGCAACTACCGGTAGTAAATATTCAGAGCCAGCGAATAAAGTCAGTCATCTTTTTATATCTTTTGGCAATGTGAAAATACAGTGCAAAAACAGTGGGTATCAAATCTAAAAGTGGTATTCAGAAAATGTTGGATTGTAGAATGGTGAATAAATCATATTGCATTTATTGTTCACATAAATGTGTGTACATCAATAATGACTCAATAAATGAACATATTGCTTATTCATATAAAAGTAATCTGAGTGAAATAGGTGTTCATGGAATAGCATATATTTTATGATGCATATGATAGCAACCCTGAAAGTAGATTCTATTGCTGTACTTTCCCGAGTATAAGCCCAGGGGCCTGAACATGGAAAATCAGGAAAATTAGGGGTGGGCTTATACTCGAGAATCCCTCAAAAAAGATAATTTTTGGGGGGTTTAAAATTGTAACCCTCTTCCCAACCTCAAAAAATCATTTCATTTTTCGTTCACATCGCCGGTCTCAGAGAAATATTACGTCTTTTAGATTTCCACGACACTTTTTACAATGAAGAAACAAATATGTTCATAAAAATACACATTTTATTACAATACGGTTTACATACAGTCTGAATTTACGGTGCAAAAATGGGTAGGGTCTGTGGGAAAACTGTCGAAGGCAAGATATTTATCATTATCTTTGTTGTTGAATGTTTTTGATCACTCGCAAACTCTCGATACAGAGCGAAGTAATTTTGTCAATGCAATGCATAAGTGAATTACTGCGATGTTAAAATGCGATCTGATTTTGACAAAAAAAACGGTGATTTTTTTCCCTAAAGCTGTTGATTCGCAATTTTCGAAAAGTAAACTGAGGGTGGAGGAAGTATTTAAACGTTTCACAGTCGCCAAAAAGTCATGTTGAAGAATAGTATGCTCCATTCATGAATGAAAAAGTCAAATGATGTTCAATGACCATTTTGGCGTTCTAAAACCACTACTCAAAAGGAATATGGATTAATATTTCAGTATTGCAACATCGGGATTCATCGTGAGTAAATAACAGAATAGAAAAGGTGCGAACCATGATTCGTACGTTCGCCAGCCATGCACTCTGAAATTAATGCGAGTTTCCTCGTAAAAGCAGGAACCAAACTACCAATCACGATTATTATGCAATGAAATACACTTTTTACTTGCATATTTTAATAAATGTCATCGACTCCCGGTAAAAAAAAACCTGGGCCTATACCCAGGGATGCCCGCAACTTGTTAAATGTTCAAAAACAGAGGGTGGGCTTATACTCGGGGATGGGATTATACTCGGGGAAGTACGGTATTTTTTTTATTTTAAAGCTGAGAAACAAATGTGTAGGATAAAGAAATAGGATGTCAGTTATTACTACATTGAATCCTTGTTTAAATAATTCCATATTGTAAGGTCACTCTGTGTGTCAAATTTTGTTATGTTTGTGTTATAATTCATATATCTCAGTGTGGTCATGTGACGAACCATTGAGGTTTTCAGTCAGGTGATATGGTATTGACCAATAGAGCTGTCAAGTCAGGTGACATGGCATTGACCAATAGAGCTGTCAAGTCAGGTGACATGGCATTGACCAATAGAGCTGTCAAGTCAGGTGACATGGCATTGACCAATAGAGCTGTCAAGTCAGGTGACATGACATTGACCAATGAAGCTGTCAAATGATTACATGGAATGTTATTTTATCATCAGATGGTCAAGATATCAGAGACTGATATTCCAGATATGAAATCAAAACTCACATCATTGAATTCCGAGATTGAAAAACTAAGACAAGAAATTAGTGAGGTAAGTTAAAAAACTAAGACAAGAAATCAGTGAGGTAAGTTAAAAAACTAAGACAAGAAATCAGTGAGGTAAGTTTTAAAAAACTAAGACAAGAAATCAGTGAGGTAAGTTAAAAAAATAAGACAAGAAATCAGTGAGGTAAGTTAAAAAGCTAAGACAATAAAACAGTGAAGTAAATTAAAAAACTAAGACAAGAAATCAGTGAGGTATGTTTTAAAAAACTAAGACAAGAAATCAGCGAGGTAAGTTAAAAAAACTATGACAAGAAATCAGTGAGGTAAGTTTTAAAAAACTAAGACAAGAAATCAGTGAGGTAAGTTTTAAAAAACTAAGACAAGAAATCAGTGAGGTAAGTTAAAAAACTAAGACAAGAAATCAGTGAGGTAAGTTTTAAAAAACTAAGACAAGAAATCAGTGAGGTAAGTTAAAAAACTAAGACAAGAAATCAGTGAGGTAAGTTAAAAAACTAAGACAAGAAATCAGTGAGGTAAGTTAAAAAACTAAGACAAGAAATCAGTGAGGTAAGTTAAAAAACTAAGACAAGAAATCAGTGAGGTAAGTTTTAAAAAACTAAGACAAGAAATCAGTGAGGTAAGTTAAAAAACTAAGACAAGAAATCAGTGAGGTAAGTTTAAAAGTGGTAATTGAATCAGCTTGACAGTTAAACATGAGCAATGTGCAACATTTTGTTTTGTTTGGAGATTTACTAATTCAGAAACAATAATGAAAAGTTTATCAACGTACCACCACAAGAGATTTAATTAAGATAGTTTTGTTTATAGTACCGGTAATATAGTATGAACATGAACATGTCAGAGATGTGGATCTACTGCTTGATTGTGATGATTTTTAAGATTAATTAGTCCCCGTTCGGACGCAGTCCGAAAACAGGGACTTATGTTTTGACCTCCGTGTGTATATGCGTGCGTCCGGACCTGTATCTTAGAAATGCCTGGACCAATCACAATCAAACTTCACACATACATCATACATGATATTATACATGATATTATACATATGCACATCAATTTGTTTCACGATCTGATTCAAGATGGCCGAATAGTGGCCATTTTTGTGCTAAAAATCATCTAAATCAAGCATTTCTCGGCTGTTTACAGATGGATGTTGTTTAAACTTGGTATATACATTAGACATTATAGGACCTTGATGCACTTCATTTTGTTGCACGATCTGATTCAAGATGGCCGAAGGGCGTCCATTTTTGTGCTAAAAAATCCTAAAAATCAAGCATTTCTCGATTGTTTACAGATAGATTTTGTTCAAACTTGGTAGGTACATTCGACGTTATGGGACCTTGATGCAAATAATTTTGTTTTTCAGATAAGATTCAAAATGGCCGACTGGCGGCCATTTTGTTTTAATGAATGTGGCTCTTGTGTCATATCTCTGACTTGCTTTCACTGATTATATTCAAATTTGAAATATTCATTAAACATGATGTCATAGATAGACAGATATATTGGTTTGACAATCCTATTAAAAATAGCCAAATGGTGGCCATTTTTGTGCTAAAAAATCATCAAATATCAAGCATTTCTGGATGGATTTTGTTCAAACTTGGTACATATATT